CTGGATCATCCCCCCTCAGTCTGTGACCCCGAAAGGACAAGGACCATATGCTTCCCATCTGGTTAAGCTCCGTGGAAGAGGGAGTGGGCACAGGGTGCTGCTTCGAGTTGGAGAAAGGGGGAGTGATTTGCTGGAGGAGATTGAAATCTGTGTTTGCCCAATTATCAGCCGCAGTGCTTAATCACTCTGCCCTGGATCTCCCGGCAGCCGCAGGGGCAGTCGGATGTGGGGGCGGGAGGCAGATAGGATTTAATAAAGAAGCAATTTTATGAAGGAATACTTCGCTTTTGGCATTTTCTGTAGGAGTGGGAAAAATGATCCTTTTTTCTTCGGTAATGCCAGGGAAAGCAAGAAAAGCAGAGCTCCATGTTTCAGCTCCTGAGGGATCGACTCCCTCTCCAGCTCTCGCTGCCTCTCCATCCCATGGAGATCCTGCAAGAGACCCAAGGAGAGGGGCATGAAAGATCAGGGGAGAAAGGAGCTGGCAATCCCTGCACTGACCCAGGGTCACCTGCAAGGGACAGAGCCCCAAGGTGACCAGAGATACCTCAGTCCAGAGTCATTCCCAGCAGCCACGTGCCATCACCCAGTAAATCACAGCAGAGTTGGGAAAGGTTTCCATGGGCTGAGCCCGTGGGGTTTGGTGTCACTGAGAGGTGGGAGAGCAGAGGCAAGCAGGCCAGGAGCTGGGCTGGGAGCTTCCACACCAGGCAGGGATCTCCACCCCAGCCAATGTCAGCCAGGAACCCTCACAAACACAGAGCCTGTCCCTAGCACATTCATCATCCTCCTCAGGAAGCATTTGATTGGCATCCAGTCACGGCCTCTTCTGAACAACCCAACAAGCTCTGATTTATGTGATGTCTTTGTCTTTAGACACTGCTGTCAGCAATACCCAGGCTCAGGCAAAGCTGCAGATGCCTGCAGATTTCCAAAGGTCTCTCTCATGGACACGCTGCCCTTGCTGAAGGATAACAAACAGAAGCTTTAGTAAAAGTAGAAATGATGATTTGGTAGTGTTATCCTGTAGCTATGCCCAGCCCCCTCCCCAGAAACCAGAGGTCCCAAGTCCAAGATTTCCAGAACAGAAGAGAAAACAAATTGATATGCTGTCCTGGACTCCAGAGATTCTCCTACAGCTGGAGAAAATATGTGATGCTTTCTCAGCAACTACCACAGAATCCCTTTTCCTAAACTGTCAGAACGTTCAATATCTCCCATGTACCCAAAGCAACAGAATAGCTTTCTCAGCATTAAATGGGAAAGAATCCAAGACAAAAATCACTACCGACCAAATTATGGTTTGGGTTGGGTTTTTTTTCCTGCAGGAAAAATCAATGTTTGAGCAGTATTCCCTGGACAGAGAAGCAGCTGATCCCTGCACACTGTTCTCACCTTGCTAATGCAAAAGGGCTTGGTCTGTCTCACACCTTTCAAAATCACCTTGGATACCATGGGCAAGGTCTTGGCTACACCTGCAAGATCCAGGCCTGGCAGGTAACACAAATTTAGGCATTTTAACTTTTAAACACAAGCAGCATTTTGCACCCAAAATAGCTTTGAGCATCTTGGGAACTGGTTTTTGTGGCATCTCTAGGTTTGACATTTGCATAAGCCTTTCTCCAAATTTCACTCATCCCACCCACTGCAGGGCAGCAGCAAAGTCCCCCGCTGCCTTGCTGAGATCCTGAGCACGGAGGAGCCTCTGGTGCCTGTCCTTCATGAATCCCAAGGAAAGTCCCTAAAACCTCCACCAAGGGACCAAGCTCAGAGATGCCACCAGCACAGGGCCATGGTGCAGGTCTTGGTCACGGTCATTCCTTGGTGAAAGGGGCTGGGACTGCACAAGGAGCTCTGCTCCTGCTTTAGCCCATCCTCTGCTTCAGGAGAAGGCTGGAAAATGTGAACCACCCCTAATGAGCTTGTTGGGAAAAGCCATTATTTGAAAGAGGCTTAAGAACCATTTGTGACTTCTAAGCTGTGATTCATGATCATCTGGGTCTGGTTTGTGATCTTTGAATGCTTTGGACTGGCGACTCTTTTGGTTTCTTGGGGCACTGGTGGCTTTCTCTTTGTACATCAAGTCTCCACAAAAAAAAACAAATTCCAGCCCTGGTTACAACAAGGGATCCTCCAGCTTGTCATGGAGAGACCATCACAGTGAAATAGGTAGTTTCCCATATTTTTAATTGCCCTGCAATGTAATTTTTTATCCCTTTGCAACACTTTACCACTGAAATTAATGCAACTTGAAAACACTCAGGTTTGGCCAAAAGACAATACAGAAATTCATCCTGCAGAAGGAGAATCAGCTCTTCCTGCTGCTCCACCTGGAGGCAGACCTGGCTGTTCAACTTGCCTCCTTACCCACTGCCCCTTCCCCTCGTGCCTTGTGCAGCATCAATTCTCTCTCCAAGTGCTCCCAGCATCCAGGAGGAGACACCACCAGCAACTGCAGAGATCTTGTGTCCTAGCCCATGTGTGGTGGCCACCACCCAACAAGGTGGCCAAGGGGACGCCATCCCATGCCAGCTCCTGCTTTGGGACCCGCCTGTCCCCTCCAATTCTCCACGACAGGCTCAGCAAGTCACACAGCACGGCTGGCAGAGCCACCTGACTCATTTCTCTCTACTCCTCCAGCTGATGTGTTTGGAGGAACACGCTGCTCTGACAAGGTGACACATCCTGAGAAAGCCCACACTGCCGAGGACGGCACCAGGAGCACCCAGTGCAGTAGCAGCTCACAGCTCTTTTTCATTCCTCCCCAGTCAAACGAGCCCCAAGCATTTCTGTTTGATTTTCCTGAAGGATATCGAATTGTTGTCAATCAGGAGAGAGGAGCCGTGAAATCTCGTTTTTGAAGGCATCTCATAAAGACACAGCTGTCAGTGGAGATGCTTGGAAAGGAAGAGCATTTGCTAACGGAGAAACTGCATTAAAACCAAGTGTGCCTGCTGTTCAGCTGCAGCCTATGCTGGAATCTTCTTTTGGCAGAGGCAACTGCCCTTGAGTCTGTTGGTTTGGCTCAATTCGTTGTGGAATAATTAAGTTCAGTCCATTGCACTCCATAATCTGGAGTTTCTTCAACCTTCCTCAGTAGCAAAGTACTTAATCTCATCCAGCTCTGGGAGCAGTTGGGAACATTAAAATCAGCCAGTGCAAAGCTATCAGGAGCCTCAGCAGTAAGAGGATGAAGAGAGAAGTGTCCAGGAGGCAGGGAAGGTCAGCAGCCTGCCTGTGCTTGGATGCCTCTGACTTCTGGAGGAAGGAGAAAACCATGGCGTTACACACCCTGAAATGTCCCAGGAGCCAACACTTTGCCACCTGCAGAGCATAAACAGTGAGGATGTACCCGTCAAGCTCAAGTCTGGAAATGCGCCTGGATGTTTCCAAGGAATCTGAGGAAAAATGTTTCTGTTCCTGGACAATCCAAACTATCACATTTCCTGGCTACAGCAAGGATCTTGAAAGTGAAAAATGTGTTTTACCAGGAGTGGGCACGCCCCAAACATGGGTAATCAGACAAATTCTTTTCAGTACTGTTCTATTTACACGTCTTAGATTGAAGAGGAAAAAAAAAACAGGGGACAATGTTGGATGAGGTGAACCTCTTTTAGCTATAAAAAATTATCATCCCTCCTTCCCTTGCTCCTCAGAGGGTGGTAACACCACCTGAACCATTGTCCCAGGCATGCTAAAGGATTGTTGCCTGTGCTCAGAGGTCCACTAACACCCCTCCAGCTCCTGAGAGCTGCTGAGCAGGTCATACCGAAAGCCAGCTTTACTCTCTGAATTAATAAAATAAGAGATGCCACTAGGAGCAGTTCTTTCTGCCTCATGTTGCAGGTCAGCCCAGGGAGAGCAGAGGGAAACCCAGTCAAGAGGGAGGAATCTCCCCATGACCACTGAAGCAAAATCAAAAGAGATGTTTATGGCAGGGGAAAGCATCCTCCAGAGCCACGCTGGGAATGGGGCATCTCTTGGACAATGGAGCAGCTGCCAGTGGAGCTGAGATTTCTCCCTCTCAAACAGCTCCTTGAATTGCTCTTGGCATTGACTTTTTCCTGTTCAGCTAATTAAAAATCTGTCTTTGAGTCATAAGCCCCCATTAGTAATAATTTGCTTTGCACTTCTCTAGTGATTTATGGCTGAGATATCAAAGTGCTTTAGAAACATTAATTAATCCTTCTAATCCCCGAGGGACTGATCCACTCTCTGCAATGCACCACTGGTGGTGTAACTGTGGGAAATCCCCAGGGTTTACTCCCAACTGCAGGCGGGGAGAGGGGAAGGGAGCAGTGTCTGACCCAGCAGCTCATTTCAGCTGCTGTCTGCAATCAGAGATGTGCAGTCAAAACAGCAGCACTGGATCTGCAGCCACGAGCAAGCCCAAGGCACAGGCAAGCTCTGTGTTCTCTCCAGAGCAATCCTTGCTCCCATTCCTGCCTGCCCGGGGAGGGAAGGGGAGCTGCAGCCCCCCAGCTCTGCTCTGTGGATCACAGCAGGAAAGCTGTGTGTGGATCAAAGCCATCTTCACCCAGAGGTGGCTTCAGCAGAGAGCTTCACCCTGCACGTGGCAGCAGCAGGGTCACTAATCAAAGCCACAGTGCTGCTAACTGCATTTCCCTTCCTGTCCTGCCCATTTCTCCAATCTTGGTTCTTTGTACAACGTTGCTTTATCACAGGAGCGCAGACCCAGGGCTGACCCCACACCTGGGACAGGGCCCCAGTCCTTGCTGCAGATAAGGATGATTTCCTCCATTGGCTTGGGAGAGGCTTTCATCCTTGCGCCCTCCAATGAGCCAGTTGCCACCTGGTGCTGTCCCCGTACTTTGAATGTTGTCACCACAGGACTGCAGGGTGGAGCTGGCTGTGTGGTGTGGTGCCAGGAGTGGGGAAAGGTATAAAGGTCCCAGCAGAGTGCCAGAGACAGGATCTCCGAGACACTCAGGAGTGTCCCAGTTTCTCCCTGCTGCGCTCAGTAAAACATCACCTCGACCATGAAGGCAGCTGGTGTTTTCCTGCTCCTCTCCCTGGCACTCTTCTTCTACCAAGGTGAGTCCAACATTTTTCCTAGGAGCTATTTCCTCTCCTTGCTAAAGCTCCCAGGTCTGCCACATGAGAAGGTGAGAGTGGGAAGAGACCAGCTGGTGCTGGGACCTTGCTGTGGCCCTGGGCAGGGAATGCTGCAATGGCCAATGTGCATTAAACCTGTACCTGGCTGTGAGCAAACCCAAAACAAAGGCTTTGAAAGGGAGAACTTGCTCCCAAAAATGAACAGACCTGCTGCTCTTTCTTCAGGGGTAGGGTTTGTCCTGTAACTGGTGATTTCTAGGACAGTGTGATCCTTTCATAGTGAATAGGTGCTATTCTGGTTTCAAAAAAGCAAATTCAAGAAGACAGGAAATGAATCTATGCAAGGGAAAATGCAGCTCTCACTACCAAAGCCAATGTTTAAGCCAACTGTGTTTTCAAAATCCCATATGGTGCAGAGGAATGAGAACATGAGCTGTTGCTGCTCCTCAGGTCCTGCTTTAGTGGGCTCATTCCAAAGAGGAGGGTGCTTCTGGAGCAGGTCCTCTGTCATCCTGTTTACTGCACAGAGGCTGCCATTGCAGGGCGATCTGAGCACAAAACCTGGGCTCATTTCAGATGAACTGAGCACGTAGTGATCTGCAGCTCCTGGGTCTGGACCAGTGTTAGCCCAAAGTAAACCCCTTGAACAATTAAACAGTGTGGCTACCAGCTCCTCAGCACCAAAATGCCTCACTGCTACTGGGCCATGCTGGTTGTTAATGCAGATGTAGTATAAACCCTCCGTGTAGATGACTTCTGGGTTTATAAAAAAAAAAAACAGAATCTTCTTCTCAGTTCTGCCTTTTGCTAAAAAATTCAGGTTGTTTTTCAAAACACACCCACCACGTGTTCCACCCTTGTGACTCCAGCTGCCAGCTCAGGGCCAGCTTCTCCACGGGGAAGCCCAAAGTCATGGCTTGATCCCACCAGCTTTGATGTGAGACCTTAGGGTTGCCTTCTAGCAGAGACTTTAAACAACTTGTCTTTTGCTCTGCTTGCTTGTGGTAAAAACTGAGTAAAAGTAGAAAAATCGCCCTGGATTTACTCCAGCACCTGTCCAGTGCCAGCAGGAGTTTCTAAGGTATTCATGAACATGTGGTAAGACAGGACAAAAGCCACCTTAGCTCCCTGACAGCTGGCAGGTGACATCTCTAGAAGTGCATTTTGCCTTGGCAGGGCCTTGCACCATTACAGTGTTTCTGCCAGGGGAAGGAGGGTGACACAGCAGGGAAGGATTCAGCTGAAAAATGTGGGTGATCCAAGGGAAAAAATTATTTTCTAGGACAAAGGTGTTTGAGTGAAGACATACAGTCCTCAGCCTAAACTGTCTTTATTCTGTCCCCCTTGAAAGCAGCCCGAGTCATGCGTGCTAAGGTGTCTTCTCTCTCCCTCTCTCCCTCTCTGTCTCTCTCTCTCCTCTTCCTCTAGGAAACGCCGAGATGGATGCAGCTGCTTTCAGAGGAACAGAGGTGAAGTTTCCTCTTTCATGTAGCACAAGTGAGACAGCACTAACCCAAACACTGGGGAGCCACCATTGCTAAATACAGCGAAGCAGAGTGGGTGGACAGCCCAAAAATGCCAGTGCCTGGGAACCCCCTTCCACCTGCAGTGCCACAGCAAGATCCCAGTGGTGGTACTGGTTTTCCACTGCATTGCCCCCAACCACTGAAAGAAAAGTTCCTAAAAAGCCAAATATTGCTGTTGCCTGCCAAGAAAGTCAGGAGTCCCCTTAGTCTCTGGCTTGCAAGTGTGAGGACAGATATTGCTGTGGCATAAAAATAAAAATTGGGAAGAACGTGCTCAGGCAGTGCCCATGGAGCACTATTTACTCTAGACTGTAACTCCTAAGGGTGTGCAGCAGGGCCAGGTGGAGTTCAGCTGGCCAAGGGACATGGTGGCAGATGGTCCCAGTGTTTTTGAGAGCTCACAGCAGAGCTCTGAGGATGGCTTATGAAGATAGACAAAATGTGCACCTCTCTGGGAAAGCAAAGCTCCTTTGGTAAATTGAGAACAGGCTTAACATTTTCAAAACTAACCTTTTGTGTCTCCAGCCTTCTTGTGAGAATTTCAACCTGGGAAGAGGGTGTACCAGGGAGTTTGACCCCATCTGTGGCACGGATAACCTCCTGTACAGCAACGAGTGCCTGTTGTGCCTTCACAACCTGTGAGTATCTGGAACTGCTGCAAGTCCAAATGCCACACAGATGAGGGCTACCACACATATCTGGGATTTCCTAGAAAGAAAGCTGTCTGCATGCAGCTGGGTGGAGCTTGGGCAGGGAGCCCAGCACATCTGGCACAGATCTGGCCTCCTGCACAGCTGCTCGGAGCATGTGGACTCCAGCTGAGGAACGGGCCCATGCGTGTGGCTCGCAGCACACACGCTGCCCACAAGCAAAAATCTCCCCATACCTGCAGCTGCCAAGCAGCAGCAAGAGCTGGCAGGCATCCAGGATCTCAGACAAATGGCAAAGTCCTCGAAGTCTGCCCAGATCTAGCACACGGGCTGAAGAATATTTTTCCAGATGACCTCAGATGTGTGGTGGCTGAGGAAAAAACTGTGTTTTTTCACCCCAGAAATTTATAGCTGAGCTCTGCTTTCTGTCTTCTCTGCATATGAAAGGACACAATTTGCTCTGGGTATTTTTAAGAATGAGTTTTATATTTAAGCTGTGCTGGTGCCAGATTGCACTGTTCTAGCAGAAGGCCAGGTCCAAATGCTAAGGGTGTCTCTGGCAAGACTTGATACATTTCATCTGGCTTGGGCCCTAGGTAATTTAAAATATATTTATACATTGGAAGCACTCTGTGTCAGACAAGTGAAGGAATTACTTCCAACTCAATGCTATTAAGTGGTTCAAAAATCTCTTTTGGGAAGATTGAGCCTTATCTGGAGCCAGATGCCCCAGTCTGCAGGGCTAAGGGAGCTTCACCCTTGACTTCACCTGGTGTAGGCAGGGATTTTTGGTGATCAGGCTCACAGGCCATCTGCCATCAGCAGAGACATTTGTAGCAGAAGCTCAAAGTCCAGCTTTTCTGTCTCTGGACGCGTGGGTTTGTGGAGCCAAATTCTGCTTTCAGGAGCATCGCCTCCCTGCTAACTCTGCAGGAGCAAGGAACAGAATCCAGATCACCAGGAAGAAAAAGAGCCTGGATAAATATTGTCAATTGGGTTGTCCCCTCTTTGCTTCATTAACCCAGGCTGCTGCCACATATTCTGCTCAAATGCTGGCTCACCTTTCAAGGCTGAGCATGATGCAGTCAGGCAGAGAGAGGCTGAGTGGGATCTCCTTAGCAAAGGCACCACAGTTAATGACCCAGCACGGCCTGGCAGGGTGGTAATGACCCTGCTGGAAGCCAGCAGCCCAGCACCAGCTGTCCCTGTATTGTGCAACAGATGGGGGTGGGAGGTTCATCAGACACAACATCATTAGGGCTCTGGCCATGGACCAGGAGCAGGGTAAAGTGAGCGGGGAAGGCTCCACAGTCAGCTGTGCAAAGTGGCATCCAGGATGCTCCATCTCCCCAGAGCAGAGAGCAGCTTCACAGGGGATGGGAGCTCACAAGAAGGCAAATTGGGGTACAAGAAAGGGAAAGACTGAGCTGGTGGTGGATTCAGGGCCGAGAAGGAGTCAGAGGAGGGATGGGATGGATGAGAAGCTGGTGCTGCATCCGACTTGTGTTGACAGGCGCTGCATTCCCAGAACTCCTAAAACTCCTGCTTGTGCAAGCTCTGAGTGCTGCAACTGGAAACGTGCTGCTCCTGTGGGTCACAGCCCTGAGCCTTGCAGCTCCCCTGTTCTGTTCCCAAATGATGGAATTCTGAGGTTAGGAACAGCCTTGTGGTCTCCTGGCCAGGGCCATCTGGGATCTGAAGCTTTATTCAGGACTCTGAAGCTGCCTGGTGCCAAATGTCTTGGGGGAGAGATAAACGGAGTGTCCTCATCTCTAAAGCCTTGGTCCATGGGGACAATTCAGCCAGGAGGCAGGATGAAGTGTCATTTGCAGTTTTGTGTGTGCAACTGGCCTGACAAGAGCTGGAAGCCTGCGAGGAGTCTGGGAATAACTGAGCATCTGGCGGGTCCCTGTGGCAGCAGTGGCTCGCTTGTCGCCTGTGGTCACTTCACTGTGACCAGCATGCAAAATGCTTTTTGCAAAAGGCAGATCATTTTACCAGCATTTCTCTAACGCACCTGAGAAATGGATCTGTCTTTCCAAAGAGGAGAATATCATGATTCCTTGTGAAAATGGAACCATTCAGAAGAATCATGTCCACTACTGGGCAAAAAGAAGAAAATAGTTTTTTAAAGGTACCTTTTTTAATATATTTTCCTCACTTTTGCTGCAGAAGCAATGCGGAGGGGAGGCTGGGAGCAGGCCAAACCCAAGTGAGACACAGTGGCAGTCTTTTGTTTCTAAAACCCTACAAAACAAAATCATAGCCTTTATTGTCTGCAGTCAGACAGGCATTAGAGGTGTCTCAGTGCTGTCCTGCAGCACAGAGGTGAATTATCCTGCCAGGAGGTGTCAGAAAGCACTCTTGAGCTTATTGGAATTAATTAACACATGTCCATGGTAACCCTGAACTCCCTGTCAAGAATATGTGGCCTTGCTTGCTGTGAATAACACTTAGATGATGATTTAAGCAGTATTTTCCTTTCTTTCTGCCTTTCTCCTCTGAGCCAGGCTCTGCTGTGTCTCAGGGACCCGAGGGCAGCCCCCCAACATTTTTAACCTCTCTTGCAGGCAAAGAAGCGACCACGTGCGCATCAAGAACAGAGGAATGTGCCAAACTCCCCGCAACAACTTCGCTTAAACTGAGATGAGAGTTGAGAGCACAAAGCTGTCCCCTCACCCGCTCAAACCCCAATAAAACGGAAGCATCGCCACGTCTTGTGCTGGGATTTCTTACACACACAGCAATCCCCTTTCCCCAACACTTAGAGCACCTTCCTGAAAAATGAGGTTTGTTCTGGTGATGCCTGTAAAGAGCTGTGAGCAAATTACTGACAGAGCCCCAGGGAGAAGGCTGGGACGTGCCCAAGGAGAGAGCCAGGCTCTGGCAGAACAGGGAGGCTCTTTTTTTGCATCAAGAATTTTGTTTTCCTTTCCTAGACTTCCAGTGCTCGAGCAATAGATTTTTAGCATTCTTATGACCTGCAACTGCATTTGCTAAATACAGAGCACTAGAGCCCGTGCTCCAGAGCCTTTGCCAGGAGAAAGAACCCAATAAGTCACATCCATGCTGACCCATCTCCAACCTTGTCCTTATGCCAGTGCCCTATGACATGGCCCCTGTGCACCAGGAGCATCACACTTGTATTGCAGGTCACAGCTACCCAGTGCCTTAAAAAACCAAAAAGATTCTATTTTTCCAGGCAAAATTCTAATTTTTTTCCCCTCTACCGGCCTTGGTGAGCTTTGCTGCTGGCACTGACAACCTGGCCTGAGGGCTGTGGGCTGGCAGGATGGGAGATGCCTTTCCAAGAAGGATTTGAAGGTGCTGGTGGATGAGAGGCTGGACACGAGCCAGCAGTGTGCACTCCCAGCTTGGAAACCAGCATTGTCCTGGGCTGCATCCAAAGTAGTGTGGGCAGCAGGGTGAGGGAGGGAACTTGGTCCCTCTGCTCTGATGGGACCCTCCTGCAGTGCTGCACCCAGCTCTGGGGTCCCCAACATGAGGGAAACTTGGGCCTCTTGGAGCAAGCCCAGAGGAGGCCACGAAGACACTCCAAGGGCTGGATCCCCTCTGCTATAGAGACAGGCTGAGGGAATGCTCAGCCTGGAGGGAATGTGCAGCCTGGAGAAGAGAAAGCTCCTGGGAGAATTTAGAGCCCCTTCCAATGTCTAAAGGGACACCAAAAGAGTCTTTTTACATGGGCTTGGAGTGACGGGACAAGGGAGGATGGCTTCAAACTGACATAGGGCAGGGTTAGGTTAAATACTAGGAAGTTTTTTGCCATGAAGGAGGTGAGAAAGTGGAATAGGCTGCCAGAGAAGTTGCGCATACCCCATCCCCGGAAACATTCAGGATCAGGCTGGAGGGAGCTCTGAGCACCCTGGCTGAAGATGTCCCTGCCCACGGCAGGGGGTTTGGCCCAGAAGCCCTCGGAAGGCCGTTCCGCGGCCCCGCGGCTGTGCGCGGCGCGGGGTGCGGGTCCTGCCGGCAGCGCGGGAGGAGCTCTCGGCACTGGAGGCCGCTGTTGCTCCGCCGCAGCCGCTGCCGCTGCCGGAGCCGAGCCCGCAGCTGGATCCCGCAGCTGGATCCCGCAGCTGGATCCCGCAGCTGGATCCCGCAGCTGGCGGGGGATGCGCGGCCGCCGGGCGGGGAGCGGCGCTGGCCCCGCGGGCGGTGCTGCCCCTGCCAGCCCTGCCAGGAGGCTGGAAGAGATGAAGTGGGGTGGCCGAGGCGCTCGGCCTCGCCACGTCGCTGTCCCCCTGCCCGGGAGCCGCTGGCAGCTTTGGGGGATGCTGCAAGGACAAGAGCGGCCCCGGCGGGTGCGCCCTGCGCTGGAGGGATGTGCCAGTGTCTGCCCGGCCGCAGCACTGCCAGCTGCTCCCTGGAGAGCTGGGCACTCCCCTGCTTGTGCCGAAGGGCTGTCCTGAGTCAGCCCAAAACAGCCTGGGACGGAGCATTTGGAGTTGGGGATCAAACCCTCGTGGGGTTCCCTATGACTCATAGCCCTTCTGTTGGTATTTGGGGCAAACCCAGTGCTTTGTTCTTAGGAAATACTGGGCTTCATTGTGGGTAGAAAGATGAGTTTTCTTTATGAAGTGGCTGAAACAAACACCAAAAAAAAAAAAAAAAAAAAAAAAAAATAAAAAAAAAATTTTTAAAAGCATGATGCATCTGAGAGAGCTCCAGTGCTCATTTCAGATTTTCAGATTTCAAATGCGGCCAGATGCAGCTGGAAGGGGGGGAAGCACAGGCTCCTCTTCTCCTCTTCTCAGATCTGCCAAAGAGTGTCTGCAGTCGAGGGAGAGATGAAAAACGACTCACTTTGCCCACATGTAAAATTAATGCACTAAAGGTGGTAGTCCCAAATAGGCTTGGGACTGTGAATTGCCTTGACATCTTTGCACACAGGGGATCCTGGAAGGATGCTTCCCACAGCTGGGATATTGCTGATTCTGCTGCATCATAAGAAATGGAGCATAGCTTTTATCCAGGGAGATCTCTGCCAGTGAGGCTGGCAGGAGGGGAGACTGATCCTCCCTACATTTCTTTCACTGCTCTTGCATTTTTTGGCATGGCTAAACCCACCTTAGCCCCAAACTCATCCCAGGTGATTCCTCCTACCCAGAAGAACACTGAAATGTGCACTGAGGCCGGTTTATGCCAAGCAAAACATCTTTCCTGCCCATGCCATTTCTGGGAAACATCAGCCAGTGTTAGCCAAGAGCGTTTCTTTGATGAAGTGAGGTGCTGACCGAGCCTGCAGAGCAGCAGGTCTCGTCAGCCGCACGGCTGAGCACAGCCTGCATCTCCCCAGGCACTGTTCTGATGAGAACTGGCATTCCTGCTAAATGTCAGCCACATCCGTTTCACAGCAAGGTCCATATCAGCCTGGAGATTATGGGAAGCAGCAGGCCAGGGGCCACTCTGTTGTTCTGCACAGCAGGGGCACATCAGGCAGAACCAGTGGCAAGTGTCCAGGAGGGAACGCTTCCTGTCCATATTTCAACTGTGGCTTGAACAAGGGCAAATCTGAGGTGCAGGTGCAAAGTTTAGACTCATCCTCAAAAACCAGTCTTCTGCCCCCAAAAGAGTTTTTCCCTGAAGCTGAGGAAGGGAATGCTTCATCCAAGCTGTTCCTCTGCCATCTGATCCCCAGCAGAGTCTGGAGCTGTCCTGCCAGCAGCAAGCCTGACTTTTCTGAGACACCAGCTTGCTTCCCTGTGTCTCCATGATGCTGTTTCTAGTGATGGTGAGCTGGCAGGGACAAAGCAAAATGGACAGTGACAGGAGCAATGATTTCAGTTCTTGGTTTCTTTGTCTAAATCGCTGCAGCTCTTCGGGCTCCTTCCCAGGGCAGTGCTTCTGGCCATGTGTTTGGAGCCCTGAACACGTTTTGAATGATGCAGCGAGGGAAAAGGAGGATTTGCCAAATCAGAGGAAGGGCTCAGGCATCCACATCCTCTCTCTTTCCCTTCTGGCTGCTCCCAGAGGGCTCAGCCAGGGCAAAAAATGAAAAGGCCAAGAGCACGTGGTGGGCGAGGAGAATCCCTAAGGATGGTGCAAAGGGCTTGGCATTTACTGCCCTGAGGAAGCTCAGGCAGAGAGCAACACAATTCCTGCCCCAGTGCCTCAATTCCTGCCCCAGTGCCACCATTCCTGCCCCAGTGCCACAATTCATGCCACAGTGCTGCAATTCCTGCCCCAGTGCCACACTGCTCATAATAACAAGTAATTTAATGACAAAGGGGGAAATTCCAAAAATAACCTCAGTGCTTGAGACAGCCAGGGCTCTGCAGAAGGCAGGACACCCACAGGGCCCAGCCCCAGCCTGCCTGCCCTGGGAGCACCAGCACATCCTGGGGAGGAGCAGGTGGTTTGGAAGTGGCAATGCTTCATCTCCCTCCTCCTGCCATCCAGGGGCATCTCTCCTGCAATCCTTCACCAGGATTTGCTGCTTGGGTGGAAGCTTTTCATAGTAGGGTCACATCTCTGTGCCTCCAAAGCAGCCCTGGGTTCTGCCAAGCCTCAGGAATGTCACAAGAGTGACAGAAACCAGACAGCTAAGGACAGAAGGCCCAGGGGAGCATTTTCAAATCAGGAAAACATGTTTCTTTAAATTGAGACTTTTCTGCCAGTAAAAATTCTTGTAAAATTCAGCCTGGGAAGCCCTTCCCCCTCCACCTTCTGGAACACTTTCCTGAAGCTCCCACCTGGGAGGCAATATCTATTTCCACTGCCAGTGGCATTTGACTTCATGATGTCATGGTAGCATACTGTGAATTCAGGTTTAGAACTGGACTGAGGGACTTCAGTGAAATGCAAGACCCAAGCTGAGAAGCAGCCCTGAATTTTTGGTAGTTGCAAAACATTCTTGTGTCCAGGCCTGCTTGGAAGAGTCAGCTTTGGTACCACCTTTGCCCACTGCAGCCTTCCCCAACATCCCCCTGATAAGAAGGCTTCTATTTTAGCCACATTTTCAACATCAGATTTGTTTTTTCCAGTCTGGAAATAAGCAGAGCCTTCCTCCAATTTGCTGCAGCTGCCAGAGGACACTTTCCATGAGGCATGATCAGTTCTAGGAGACTTGCTTTGGGGGAGCTGAATTAAACTCATTTTGTTGGGCTGGCAAGGAGAGCTCCCCTTTGCAGACACCCCATGGGAGCCCATCTGCTGCTGGAAAGGCTCCTGTGTGCTCTGATGCTTCCACGTGCCACCTTCCAGGTCTGGCCTTTGGCAAAGGATGCAGACAGAGGTGTCCCAGTGCCCAGGGCAGGGCAGAGATCCAGAGCCTGCTCTCCTTGGTGGGTACAGAGCCACTTCAGCTGCTGCTGTTGTGACAGCCTCAATGAGAGATGTCAGGAGTGCCAGCAAACAGTTTTGTCATGGTGGAGTGGCAGCTTCCAGCCCAGCACAGCAGCACTGCTGTGGCAGAGGGTCACGCTGCCAAGCTTGAGGCCACCGAAGGAAATACCAATTGGTTCCACACCAGTGGGAAATGACACTGTTAATACTCTGCAAAGGAAAAGTCTGACTGAAATGGAAGGATGCTTTTAAACTGCAAATTTCCTGTCATCTAAACCACAGCTCGGGCTACGTAGGGAAAAGCTGTCCTTGGCAAATGTATGGGAATGAGCTGG